ATTTTATGGATATATATATACATAGTGCTTTAGCCATTAGTTACTAAGCTAGCTCCTGGAATCTATACTCTCCATCTAGAGTGTTTTTTTACTTATATTCTATATAGGTTTTTAGTGATCTCCTATTTGTTCCAGTTTTTGAGCAGCTCAGTGCTAGTCTGTCTCCCTCTCCCCTGTGTGTTACATTAGGTACACCAGAATTTTTCTCTTCATATATAATTATATAATTTATAATTTATTTTTTTAATGTATTTATATTTAAATAATGAAAACTAAAGTCTTTATGTCTGTTCCAGGCAGCCGGTCTTCTCTCATGCAGTGTCACGTATTCATGTTAATTCTCTTATCTCTCTCAAAGTCTACCCCACACAGCCAGGGCCGGATTAACATAGGGGCTGATGGAGCTGCAGCTCCAGGCCCAGGCCCAGGCCCATGGAATAGGCCCATTGATTTAAAAAAAAAAAAAAATAATAATAATTTTTTTCACACACTACTCTTAGGGATTCCACCTGGCTTTTATTGTATTGGCACAGCCAGTATTTGAGGCTGCCTGGCTGGTGCCAATATAGCAGTGATACTGGCAATATAGGAAGTTCCAGCATTTCCCTCCCTGCCTATCTATACTGACTGATCTGCAGGGGTGCAGCTACAGAGAGTCCAGACAGCAACTCCCACCCTGCAGAGACGGCCTACAGCTCAGGGAAGTAAGGGATGGGGGAAAGGCAGCAGGGAGACATGGGGACACTGAGACACTAAGGGACATTGGGAGACATTATGACACAGACACATGGGGACACAGTGCCCCCATGTCTCCCAGCCAGTGTCCCTGGTGTCTCAGTGCCCCTAGTCTTCCAGTGACCCTGGTCTCCCAGTGCCCCCAGTCTGCCAGTGTCTCACTGTCCCCATGTCTCCTAGTGCCTTGATGTCTCTCAGTGCCTCAAGTGTCACAATGTCCCCAAGCTAGTGTCCCTAGTGTCTGTGGCCCTGGTGTCTCAGTGTCCCCATGTCTCCCAGTGCCCCCATGTCTCAATGTCCCCATGTCCCCTAGCCAGTGTCTCTAGTATCTTTGTCCCTGGTGTCTGTGTCCCCATGTCTTCAAGTGTCCCCTATTTTCCCATTGTCCCCATGTGTCCCAGCCAGAGTCCCATAGTCTCCCAGTGTCACTGGTGTCTCTGTGTCCCTAGGTCTCCCCGTCTTCCTAGTGTCCTAGTGACATGGGGACCCTGGGATACATGGTGACACAGGGAGACATAGGGCATTGAGACACTGATACATAGGATCACTGGGAGACCTGGGGACACGACACTAAGGGACACTGGGAGACATGGGGAACTGAGACACTGATACATAGGAACACTGAGATCTGGAGTAATCGACACATGGGGGCACTGAGTCATGAGGGCACTGGGAGACATGGGGGCACTGGGAGAAATCCATCTTTACAGCAGATTTAAACTAAGTAGTTTTTTGGCGATTTTACAGCATTTTCTCTTATGTCACTCCTTGTGATTTACATCATGTGATGTCACCCGCACATAAATTAGTAAGGCCGGTATGTTATTCCAAGAAAGGTGGCAACCCTAACTACTTTTCACATAATCTTACTTAAGTATGGAAACTTAAGAGGGATGTAAACTTGTGTGGACTGGCTGACAATGAATATAGTTAAAGGGACACTATAGTCACCAGAACAACTACAGCTTATTGAATTTGTTCTGGTGAGTAGAATCATTACCATCAGTCTTTTTGCTGTAAGCATGGTCTTTTCAGAGAAAATGCTGTGTTTACATTACATCCTAGTGATAACTTCACTGGCCACTCCTTAGATAGCTGTTAGAGATCCTTCCTGGGTCATGGCAGCCTAAAATGCATCCAAACATCCAGTGTCTCCTCCCTCTGCATGCAGACACTGAACTTTCCTCATAGAGATTCATTAATTAAATTAATCTATATAAGGAGATGCTGATTGGCCAGGGCTGTGTTTGAATCATGCTGGCTCTGACCCTGATCTGCCTCTTTGTCAGTCTCAGCCAATCCTATGGGGAAGCACTGTGATTGGATCAGGCCACCACTTCTAATGATGTCAGCAGACTGCTTGTTTTTATGAGTCTAACAGCATGCAGAGTTACAGCTTCAGGCTTGAATATAGTAGGATTTTGCTATATTTATGGAGGCATGAGGGGCCCAGGGGGACTAGATGGTGGTGTTAACACTATAGGGTCATGAATTCATGCTTGTGGTAATGCTGACTTTGGTCTCTCTAACACTGTGGCATGTTCCCTTTCTTCTACACTCACTACATACAGCTTTTCTCTGTCCCAGACCATATACCAGGAGCTTCTGCCTGCTAGTAAGAAGGTAAGGAGACAAGTGGACCAGCGAGTGCTAGGGGACAGTCCTTAGAAAGCGTTGAGTGAGCGCATAATTAGATGCATTTATACCAAGCTCAGGGTGCTGTCTGCATAGTATGCCCTTAGTTGGCCAGCTGCATGATTGGCAGGCAGCCTGACATGCATTCATGCCAGGCTGGCCTTCTAATTCTTTGAGCAGAAATGTCCTCTTTTTGGGCATGTTCGCCCCTTTTGGCAGGTTATGTGATTTGTGTCAGTGGCACACCCTTTTACCATGCCCATTGACTTCCTGCTTGACTGGACACTGCTGTTAGGGGTTATGGATTTACTTGAAAGATGAAAACATAAATTAGAGAGAGATTAGCCTAGGGTATGTGTTTTCTTATAGCTGCTGTTTTCTTTCTCTCCAGCACCATCTCCATCAGATACATGATGCTTGGGAGTGTTTTACTGTTTTTGGTCGATATGATTCTGTAATTAGGCCCGTCATAATTGTCAGCACCAGGCCCACTGGGCTCTTAATCTGGCCCTGCACACAGCACCCAGGGGTTACCAGGCAAACTCACAGCAGAGCTGCCTGAGTTGAGCTCAGGGGAACGTTCTGCATAAGGACCTCGAATTTGAGAAGTGCCTAGCTGGACTCTTTCTTTAACCAGAAAGCTCCTTCTAGTGGATTTCACCCTGAAAAGCACTTGTGGCGTGTTTTACTGCACATAGTAAACACTGCTGTTTTATGAAATGGCAAAGATTTCAACTGCAGTAGAGGAATGGCAGGATTACTGCATGAAGGCCACTTCATTGAAAGTGCACATAGAGAAAAAAAAAAAGTATTTTTAACAACGTTAAGATATCCCATGCAGTACTCCACAGAGTGGGCTTTAACGCTGTTAGGACAGCATCTAATGTCCATACATTTTGGTGTGAGCAGGATTAAATTCCTGTGCAATAGCCCCAAATAAGTCTTTGTGGGGAAGCTGGGTATTGAGATAAATACACAGCTTCCCCACAAACACTTATTTGGGGCTATGGCACAGCGCTGACATCAGGGCCGGACTGGGAATTAAAAGCAGCCCTGGAAAAAAAATATTTACCAGCCCCATAATGCATCGCGCCAGCATAGTGTGCAGATACAGAGTTAGAACAGATAACTTAAAATTAAAAAGTACTTCAACGTAAAAAGCGCACTCATAGGCTTCAAAATAAACACAAGTGCAGATTTATTTTAAGCAGACGTGCCTTTGCATGTAATCAATGTTTCAGTCCAACTACCTTGACATATTAACCCCTTAAGGACCGAGGACGGTTCAGGACCGTCATCGGCATTTTTGCCTTGCCGACCGATGACGGTCCTGAACCGGCCTAACGGTCTGGGGGTACTTACCTGATCGCCGTCGTTCCCCCGGCGGCTAACAAGTGTGGTTTTCCGTTAGGGGAGACCGTCTGCAGCCCAGACAGTCTCCCCACGGCAGACACTGTGGCCATGTGATCGCTAACACAGCTTATCACAGCTGCTTTTGGTCACAATAGGTGTCCATAGTAGCTGCCTGCAGGGGACTGTCTGTGCTGACAGGCAGTCTCCCTGCTAGTGTAAAATCAAAAAAATAAATAAAGTTAGTGTTAATAAAAAAAATTAAAATAATTATATATGTGTATATATGATATATAGACATATATTATATCTATATAATATATGTCTATATATCATATATATAATGTCATACTAAGTGTATTTTTATATTAATATGTATTTATATTAATATAAAAATACACTTATAATTAAATTACACACGTATATATATAATATATATAATAACTATATATATTGTATATATATATTATAAAATATAAATAATAAGTAATTTAAATTAAATAAAAAATTTTTAAATAATAAAATTTTAAAAAATTATATAGCTATATGAAATTTTATTCTAACTGTATTTTAAAATTAATATATATATATTTATATCAAAATACACTTAGAATGAATTTGTATATATATCTATGTATATAAAAATAAATAAAAATAATAAGAAATATACATACGTCCATATACAAAATTACATAAATAATTATATAAATATACATGTAGACTTCAAATATATAAATATGCATATATATTTAAATTCTACGTGCGTATTTATGTAATATTTTTACATAATTCAATAATTTTATTGATTGCAATTTGAGGGACCTGCCTGCCAACCCAGGCCGAAATTCCAGAGAATTTAATTTGCTAGCACTGTATTTTACCCTGTAACGTTCTACGACACCCTAAAACCTGTACATGGGGGGTACTGTTTTACTCGGGAGACTACGCTGAACACAAATATTAGTGATTCACAACAGTAAAACATATCACAGCGATGATATTGTCAGTGAAAGTTACTTTTTTTGCATTTTTCACACACAAACTGGCGCACTTTTACTGGAGTAGATACTTAATTGTTGTGATACGGTTTTGCTTTTAATGACTGTGTTCAGCACAATATTTCTCAGTAAAAACTTAATAATACAAGTTTCTCTGAAAGTTACAAGGTCAAATATAAGGCTTGCGTTTCAGTTTTTTCACATTGAAATTCGCCAGATTGGTTACATTGCCTTTGAGACCGTACGGTAGCCAGGAATGAGAATTACCCCCATAATGGCATACCATTTGCAAAAGTAGACAACCCAAGGTATTGCAAATGGGGTATGTCCAGTCTTTTTTAGTAGCCATTTGGTCACAAACACTGGCCAAGGTTAGCGTTCAATTTAGTTTTTTTACTTTTTTCACACACAAACAAATATGAATGCTTACTTTGGCCAGTGTTTTCGACTAAGTGGCTACTAAAAAAGACTGGACATACCCATATTGAATACCCTGGGTTGTCTACTTTAAAAAAAATATGTACATGTGGGGTGTTATTTAGAGATTTATGACAGATAATAGTGTTACAATGTCACTATTGATAAATTTTAAAAAGGTATGTTTTGAAACCACAATATCCTACTTGTACCTATAACCCTATAACATGCAAAAAAAAGCAAAAAAGCATGTAAACACTGGGTATTTTTAAACTCAGGACAAAATTTTGAATCTATTTAGCAGTTTTTTTCATTCGCTTTTGTAGATGAGTAAAAGATTTTTCAAGTAAAATTAAAAAAACATGTATTTTTAAAAAATTTTCATCATATTTTTTTATTTTTTTTAAATTAAAATACATGAGTTTATATAAATAATGGTATGTAAAGAAAGCCCCTTTTGTCCTGAAAAAAACAATATATAATTTGTATGGGAACAGTAAATGAGAAAGCGGAAAATTACAGCCAAACACAAACACCACAAAAGTGTAAAAATATGCCTAGTCGCAAATGTACAACATCGCAAAAAAGGTCCAGTCCTTAAGGGGTTAATGTTGTGGCTGATCAGTGTATGTAGTAATGGGCCAGGCATGCCATCCAGTATCTGTCAGCTTGGTAGTAAGCCTGCAAGGGTCGAAATGGTATCAATTCTATTACTGTCTGCTAATGTGCTTGTGTGGACAGAAGAAGGAAAGGGCGCATGCATATAAGACATGAATGAAAATTGGTTCTAAATTCTAAAAGAGAAAATAGTTAAAATACGCAGAGATGTCAAACAGAAAATTGTAGTGTTTGCTAAAATGTGATATGAAGCTTAAATTGACAGGTAGCCGCTAATCCTAATTATTCAGTAAGAAAAATACAGTAAATATGATATATGATAGGCTAGAGCAGGCTAGAACGTTTATAGAAAATGAAAGTAATGGTGAAATTGCTCGCAGATACATGTAATTACTTTTCTAATATCCAGCAGAGAGCAGGGAGAAATATATGGCTGAATAAACTCAAAAGACAAGATCATGATATTAAAAGAAACTTAAAGCTGTGGAAGCAGGGCATTCGCAGGTATATAATAGATTTCTATAGAGCTTTCACTATTCCCTATTCAAATAAAAAGAGAGAGTCAAATATATCTTCATGAGTTCCATAATAGGTTGTTTTGATGAAAGGTCTTAATAAAATCATCTTATTAATAAAACATATTATATACGTAGCGGTATAACACATGCATGTGATACGTGATTCCTATAATTTGTCTTCCCAATGGTTCAATAAGTTTGTACCCATTTTCACAACAGAGGGACATGTTTAACAGATTTGACGATCAGGTTTTTATGATCACTGTTATGTGTTGAGGGATATGATCAGGTGAACCACGTTTCATAAATTTATAGATAACAGCCCTCTGGAGGTCAGGAATTGTGTCTATAATGGGCTATATTTGTATCCCAGACATCGGAAAGTACCCCATGGCTAAGTGTGTAGAGTTGATGTTTTCTAAAACGCAAAATCATATTTATTGTATATACTAACTATACTATTCATAGAAATGCCAGTGTTTCTAAACAATATCTTCAAAATAATATTTTTGGATAAACTTTTCAAAGTGTTTAATACTTTTGGATAAACGCTTTAAAAATATTTCCATTTTGAAAAATATTGTAATATTTAGATTTTTTTTTAAATATTGATTTTTTTTTTAATTTTTTAGTTTTTTAAAAGTTTCAAATAAATAAAATATTTAATTAAGGTCTGAATCTTTATGAAAAAAAATGATGTTCATGTTGGAATTTCACTGGAATTTCAACAAAATTAAAACATATGAAAAGTTGCATTAGGAAATATGTGGGATTTTTGGCAGAATATGGCAAATTATAAATTTCTACTTCCCCATCTTGCCATTTCCCAACAATTACTGGCTGATAGAAAAAGGTATATTGTAGCCCGATGCATAATGGATGCCATTTAATTGCACAGACCCCCGTTTTTGTACCGTCTAACTCTTAGCTTCATTTCCCGAGAGTTGATGATTGAGTTTAATGATAATGTGTTGGTGCAGGAGAGAGAGCTTCAAATAGATATATCCCATCTTCTTCAATCTATTTGTTAGCAGTTGAAATCAACAATTAAAAGCTGTTATTTGGCTGTTTATATTATTTCTTATTGCTCTTCGAATATGTATTGCCCTTTGAATACTTATTTCAGTCATTTTGTACCGTGCACGCCACACCATGTTTCCCTATGGGAAAGCACTCGATTGGTAAAAATCTGCAGTTCTGATTATGTCACCAAGGGGCGGGGGCTGTGCCAGCGGACCCGCGTGGCACTGGAAATAAGGTGAGTTTTATTAACTTTTAAGGGGGCTAAAGGGGGGAGAGCAAACCAATTAAATGGTGGGTTTAGCACTATAGGCTCAAGAATACATGTTTGTGTTACTGACCCTATACTGTTCCTTTAATTCTTTGCTTTGTATGTGTACCTTGCTGTGCTAATACAACTCTGCTACATTTCAACAGGATTCATATCAGCCTATTAGTAAACCATTATAGTGTCACCACTCCTCTAAATATACTAGAAAACAAGTTGTGCTTTTTATAGCCACGATTTATCATTGTATGGATTGAAATCTACTTTAACACATTTCCCCCACTGCCAAACTGGCAATAGGTCATAAGAGGAAACCACTATAATACCTGTAATTCTATCAGAGAAATCAAATACATTCAAATACCTTTAACACAGGCAAAGTCTAGGAACATATGTCCCTTGAGCTATATCTAACGACTTTCCCTGTAGTAACACTGGCCAATGTATGTATGATGTCCTAAGCCATAGCTATGTGCTTCCCTATGTATAAATCCTTATTATTGTATATCATGAGTACTGTGCCAGGTGTCCAATCCTCAAATGCCCATCACCACCATCATTGTATGTCGCACAATGCCCTTCTTTTAGAAAGTTTGGTTTCTCCTAATTTACATAATTAATGTTTGTTTGAGTTTTCTCTTGCATTGCGTTTTTTAATACAGATTTAAAAAATGGATTGGAAAAAAAGTGATCAATGTTTCCCATCAGGAAAGATAAAACTGTAGAACCAATTCCTGATATTATGGTAGAACTTGGACAGCTGATGTAGACTTAATGAAATGAACATGTGTAAGGTGACATAATATAGGTATGGAAGATACATGTGTTTTTATTTTTATACAGTTTTCAGTATATTTCCGCACAAAGATGACAAATTTCCTTTTTGCGACTTTTTAAAAAAGGCACCTATAAAACTTGGCAGTATTTAATGACATGTATGATTCTTAGATTAAACAGAGATCTACATGAAGATTATTCACCGCACACTATGGGTAGGTAGGATAAGACTATAAAGGTGGACTCCATGGTGAAGACATTCTAAGGAGATCCCATGGCTCCAAGTCCTCCACCATTGAGTATACGCACTTTAAACCAAGGGCCAAACGGAAGTCTCTGTGATTGAGGATACTGAATGTCTTCTAAAGAGCCCAAAGGACCACAATGCAGCTCACTACTGCACTTTAATCAACGGAAGCACTCCCTTTTAGGCTACTTCTCTCAATGCAGTTATTCCCAAATCTTTATTGTTCTCACTGAATCGAGCACTTCTATCAACTTGGTTCTGTATCCTGTCCGTTCCCATTGCACAGCTTCTGCATTATTTATTTATTTATAAAATATTTTACCAGGAAAACTACATTGAGACTTCTCTCGTTTTCAAGTATGTCCCGGGTCCACAAAACATTGCAATGATACAATAGGGTACAATAAAATACAAAAACAATATTAATACACAATATATACAAAATTTAATATAGAACAAGTAGCATGATAATAACCCAATAAATCTGTTTATGACCAGTATCTTGGGCCCTTTTAGCATGGAGACACTGACCCACACCTGAATCAATGCTGTGGCTTCAGCATTTACCTGCACTGATAAAACACACATCATAATACAAATGACTGAGCATAGCTACGCGCAGGATAATGCTATCTCATACACTCAGGCATTTATTGATGGACATTAGCAGGAGATGATTCTTTTTTACACATTCATTTATTATCAGGCATATTCGGGTGGCATGACAAAGCCCAGAGCTGTGGATGACGTCATATCACAAGCTGAGACTTTTTTTGGCAGGCACACAGGGGCGATCCATTGATGTAAGAGCAGCTAGGTTCAAGAGCCGCCTCTAAAGATAAATTGAGATGGTAGAGATTTAGAGAAGATGAGTCAAAGAGAAGCATGGGTAATAAAAAGAGTAATGACTCAAAGACAAATGAGCAGAAAAAATTAATTGAAACAAAATGCAAAGAGAACTTTGTGGAAAAGGGAGAGTGAAACGGAAACAGAAACAAAAAGAAAGTATAAATGCAAAGATTGCAAGGTACCGCAAAATGATGCAGAGATCGTATGGGAAAGAATGATGTTGGGAAGAGGGTAAGGTGGAGAGTAAATATGTGGATAAGATCATTTGGAAAGCAGAAACACGGATCGTATATTAAAAGATTACAGACACAGAGAGAGTTAGGTGCCTAGTAGAGACACAGAGAAGGCAATCTGAAAGTAAAGATGCAGAGATAAGATGGACAGTAGAAATGCAGAAGAATTTAAATATAATGGAAAGGCGTGGAGATGGTTAGTTGGAGAGTAAAGACAAGGGTAAGTTAAAGCGACAATCCGGGCACCATAACAACTTATTCAGAATTAACTTGATATGGTGTGAGGAGGTCCCTGGATGCAATATTACTTCAAGGAATTAAACCATGGCTAATGGTTTAATCCCAAAGTCTTGAATCTGGCACCGATCAACTCTGCCCAGCTACTTCCACTGCAGTTTGAAGCTTTTATCAGAATCCTGGAACTAGAAGCCATTTATGGGCTGAGAGTGTTTTAATATGTTAATGGGATGGATCCCAGTCCAAGGCTTCCTGATTCAAGCTTAGGACTGAAACGTAAGTAGCTGGGTAGAGCTGGTAGGCACCGGATTCGAGACTTGATTTGTTAACACTTTAGCCACTTGAGATAAGCTGGCACCTGAGGTCCTACTCGCACCATAATATCGTCATCCCGATGAAGTTGTTATGGTGCCCAGAGTGCTCCCGTAAGGTGGAGGATATAGATGTGATATGAGGATAAAGTTGGTAAGCAAGTATGCAGAGAGTATACGTTAAAAAACAAACAAGGAGCTGGGCAGTTAAGATAGAGAGAAAGTAAGATAGATAGAAAAGATTCAGAGGGATAGGTAATGAGGAAAAGGAAACCAAAGGGTGACATAGACATTTAATTTAGAAAAGATGAAGGATATCTTTAAATATTTGTAATACTAACCCTTCTATTTTGGACAGACAATCCAGCGATTGTAGCTATTCCCAGCACCAGTAGAAAAGACAGCAGGAGAATGACATACATTTGCCATGATGAGGCTGTGCGAATCCCTGTCTGGGAAGCTGAAGGTGGGAACAAGGATATGTAATCAGATCGATTTTAATGAATTATTTAATAGAGCAGGTGAAAACATTTGTGAGCTTTCAAATGATCTAGTCATAGTCTCAGGAACACACTAATCATCTGTCAGACACTTCAAAGACTTTTCTTTCATATTCTCAAAAAGCTAAGGACATCTTCTCGAATTCTGATTAGAAGACTAAGGAAATTTCCCATCTTCTTTTCAAAAACACTAAAATTTTTCCATAACCCATTCCAGGAACATAATAATCATATACTTTTCCAGATTTCAATACTTATCCTAAGACTATAGAACCAGTTCAAGATATGCCTATGAAGGTGTAAAATATATTATCTTCTGTGGTCACCTGTCATGGTAAATGTCTGGTCACCTGAACTAAAGACTAAAGAAACCCCATGATGAAATGCTCTTAAGACCTGGGAATCTCCAATCACCTGCTCTAAAGAATTGGAGACTTTCAGATCACCAAGTTTCAAGACATGAGAAATGTACATTGACTGACTAAGATACAAGAACCCTCCAAGCATCAACTATACAGACATCAGGAGCATTTGGACACCTGCTATAAATACACAAAACTGTATTTTCTCCTATAAAAAGATGTGAGAATCCTGTTGCTTACTCAACAGACAAATAAATCCTCAAATAGGTACCCTAAATATACGAGGACACACAATCACCTAGACAGGGGAAGCCTTTAATCGTTTTATCCAACACCAAAGGCATAGGGCATCTTTGGATCAACTACTCTAAAAACATGGGAAGCTTCAATCACTGGCTGTAAAGACATGGGAACCTTGTGATCGCCTACTCTTAAGACTTAACAATCACCTACTCTAAGGAATAGAAAGCCCTTCAAAGATGTACTATAAGAAAATTGTACTAATATCTGCTCAATTATTTTCTCTAAAGACTTGATCACACACGCACAAATGCATACACAAACATAAAATACCTCTATAAAATTATCAATTTGTATATGGATAGTTACCGTGGACGTAAAGCATATAATGCGATTTCCCCACAATTCCTTTCTTCCCATAGACCGTACAATTCCAAACACCAGCATCTTCTGTTTGTACACTGGGCAGGTTTAGCACTGCTCCACGCTGCACCTCTCTATGACCACTGTCTGTGGAAGGTCCTGTCCACTCATACTGTTCTTCAAGCTGGGATTCGTGTACTTTACACTCTATCTGCAGATTGGAGCCTTCCCTAATGAATCGAGAGTCTGATGGTAACACTGAGAAGAAGAACAAGAAAGATAAAGTTAGATAACAGAAAACGCAAAAACAGAAAGAGGAAGAGAGAGAGAGAAAATAATCAGATAGATTTTTTTTAGGCCCCACTTCAACATTTCCTTTTTAGATAATAAACAGACACCACAAACACATGTCCTCACCGGATACTAAATTGCTAAAGAGTCACCCATCCCTCACCATACACACATCCACACTGAATACCGTACTGCTAAGCACTGTCACCCATTACCCATCACACACACCCAATTCCTCAGTGAATTATTATATTTACATACATACATCATTCACTACGCACTCAATTCCACACTGGATTTTGTACTTCCGAATGCAGACAGCCATCAATCAACATACACCCATTTCTACTAAAACAGTCACACTATGACTCTCTATACATCCACTTCCTTTATTCTTTCAAAACATCGTCTTCACTGCCAGACTTCTCTCCAAAACATTGCGCAGAGATTTTATAGAATGTTTCCATTATCCTACAGCGATAGCATCACCTGTGTTTTTAATTTTACATCTCCCTGTTTTACTCTGGATTTCTCCTCTCTATCCCATTTACCATAATACCAATACCTACTTGATACACAATCCTAATAGCTGAAAAACATGTTCTTATTTGTGCTAAACCTGTCATGTTTTTCCTTACTCATAATTTTACAAGATACCCTTTCAGGTTACATTTACGAACTAGTTTTATTCACTGTTCTCGCACTTGTTTCCTGTATATTTTAGATTTTGATTTACTCTCACTTGTGAAGTTTTAAACAGTTCTACCCCAAACTACATATTATTTTTACTGGATAATTACAGCTAATTTCTATTGTTCTGCACTGCTAGTGGCCTTCAACTCCCCTTGCAACCTTATCTCTAACTTGGATATATTTCAGGTCTCCTTCATTCTATTTTTTTTTTTGTCCTGTCCTAATTAGATTTACTCCCAGTTTTGAGTCCTTTAAAAAATCCAAAACCCACTTACTTATGGAAAATATCAACTGAGTAATTTCTTCTTCCCACAGCAACCTACTCACACAATCTCATGTCTGCACTAAATCTATAACATTTTCTCACTAAACAGAAACTATTAGGGTGATTCACTAACGTGAGGATTCAAAGTGAATTTCAAATTCAAGGACTAAGTAGCCAAACTGAAACCATAACTAAAGGATAATTTCTACTATTCGTCAATCTTTAATTTGAAATTCAATTTGAATTCTTTCATTAGTGAATAACTCTGTATGTCGTATCATTTAAATAATTATTACGTAAGTTACCAATGAATTGTACATCTGGCAAATTATCTGCCATCTATCTTGAGATACATTGTATAACTATAACAAAATTAATTAAACAGTAAACATGTTTGCATGTTTTGTATAATCATTGTGCAGAATTGTGAAGTATCTTTGAAAAAATAAAATAATTATAATAATATATATATTATGTAGAATGTAGATATAAAGGCACTCACTTTTATCCAGTTGTATAAAAAAGGTAAATCCGTAGGTTATAATGCCACAATGGAAAAAAGTAAAAAAAGATTTTAATTGTGCAGCTTCACAATTAAAATCTTTTTTACTTTTTCTAACTAAAAGTCCTACGAGTGCCCATTCCTTCCTTGCATTAAAATGTATATATATATATATATATATATACACACACATACATATATACATATATACACACACACACACATACATACACACCTAGATTGTTTTGAACGTTAATGACAGAGAAATGCAGAAGATTAAAGCGGCTTTGTAATCCCCTGCCCCCCACCCCAGAAAGAGAGAGAAAGAAATATTGAGATAGTACAGCGAGGGTGAGTATAAATAAATGGGTTTAAAATGAGAAGAAGAGGGAGCAGGAAGTGGTTAAGCGGACGGTTGCCCTTTACATGAATAGGCTAGCGTTAGATGAAATTCACTGACCTCGAATGACTTGAATGACTTTCAGATCAATCCATCTGCTCAACGTATGCCCTTTGTAGGTGACATCACATCTGTATTTCCCAGCATTCCATGTGCTCACATCATTGAAGACGAGCGTCTGGCCCTGAGCATCCCTGATGTTTGTGTTGGGGACTTTGAGCCAATGAACAGCCAGGTGTTCATCTTTTGGAATACTTGTCACAGCACAGGGTAACTCAGCACGGGACGAAACACCTGCGTATACGGTGAGGGACTTGGATCCCAAAATTCCTGATGGAGAGAAAATAGTGGAATTTTTATAACGTGTCAATAACTATCAATACCTAGAACCTTCCAGAGGGACAAATGTTCTATGTGAAACACATGAAGGCATCACTTTGTAACAAGTGTGTGAAGAAAAACATGATCAATAACACAGGTCACAGGAGGGCAATAAATTAAAAATCTGTTGCATATTGAGAGTTTTTGAAGCCTTAGGAAACACTGACACTATCTCCAGTACCACACAGCGTGCGGTTCAGAGATATAAGTGTGAGTGGGAAGGGGATACTTTGACTCACCTAGTACTTGGAGTGTCAGTGTGGCCCTCACACCTTTCACCTCACAGCTCCAGTTCCCCCTTTCTGCTTGAGTGAGGCCGATCAGACGAAGTGTGTGGCCGCTTTGTACATATCTACTTGTGGGATTGATAGGAATTCCTCTGTGGAACCAGCGGATAGTTTTCATGTTTGGACTTTCTGTAGAACAATTCAGGGTGACCGAGCCGTTTTCAGGAACAAGACCTGGAGGGGACTGGGTGACTGCAAGAGATAAAATGAAGGAAGGACGTTTAATTTTGGCTCAACAAGTGCAGGTCTCACTTACTGCAGAACATTTATTTGAACATCTGGGGAAATCAGAAGGCAGCACTCCTGCTATGGCAATACTACAATTCCCACAAGGCCTGGCAACTATTCTAATATAAAATGAAAATGCCTGCGGCTGGCAAAGCATCACAAGAGTTGAAATTCCACAACTGAAGACCTACATAACCCAATATTGAAGAATGTGGTTTATTTGATTAATTTAGACTTGCAGCTTTAGATTGAGCAAGCAACTACTGACTACACTCATCCTTTCTCCCAACCCTCGCAATCCCTCTTTTTCTTTAATTCTCACACTCTCTCTTTCCCCTACTCATCACCATCATTTTATTTCCCTTAACCAAACTTTTCCCCTTGATCCTAACCACTAACCCCAGTTCTCACCATGTCTCTCCCTTACTAACAGGGTTATCTACTAAAGTGAGAAATCAAGGTGAATCTATAATCATATAAGGCCAGAGTAGCTGAACTGAAAGCTGACTTAGAGAATGTTCCCAGTTTTACTTTTTTTACCTTAAATTTAAAATTCACTTTGAATTCACTTTAGCGAATACTTTAATAACCTTTTAAGTCTTCCCTTCGGTTCTCCCCATCTCCCTACAAATCACCCATATTCACTCTGTTTCCCTAATCTTCCCCATCACGTTCACTCCCAAGAACCTCAGCACTTTTCTCCCTTTAACCTTTATAATATTACTCAACTTAATCCTTACCATCTATCTCTCCCTCGAATTCTGACCTTCCCTCTCCCCCTAATTATAGCATATCTATTTCCCCTACAAATTGCCACATTTCTCCTGCACTGCTACCTCTCATTGCATATTATTAGTATTATTATTTATATAGCACCAACAAATTCCACAGCGCTGTACAATTGGATATATCAAATCATTGCCTATCTCCCTACAGTATGCTCGTTCTCTCCCTCCTGATACATGAACATCACTCTCTCCCTCCCTCTACATCTTTCTTCCTCAATATTTCCTTCAGCCTGTCTGCCTCATTGTGTTTCTCTCTCGCACCCATGCCATTTCTACTCTCTCTTTCAGTGTATTTTTATACATGACATCTTAATATTTTTGTTTAATGGAAATTGTGAACTTCAACATCCCCCTCTGCGAGGGACCCCCATAACAAAATATTCCATCTTCGATGGGTTTCCTGAATCCCCCCGCCCCCTCCTGTGTGACTCAAAGAAGCCCCCTGGTACTGAGAAGCAAAACAGGATGTGTGTGTAGGGGGTAAAAGCCGAGTGCCAGCGTCATGAAGGAAAGTGACATGCATTCTGATGTGTGTTTTTATTTCACGGGTGACAGTCACTGCTTCGGTTATAGACAATATTAGTTTTTTCTGTTTTCTAATTTAATCCTATGGTTTAATGTCATCAATATACAGAAATATAACAACCTGAAAGAACTATACACCGTGCGAGGATATTATTTGCATTAAATCATTCAATTATTGAAAATAGTGAATGTATTGAATATTAAAGCTTTGCAGCTTTAAAGGGATGTTCTAGACACCATAATCACTTTAGCGTATGATGCAGAGCATATCTCTGCAGTTTTACATTTGACAAGTTTTATTTATTAAACTGGCAAATTAGGGCTTTAACGTGGAGCTCAGAGCTCTGCCTACAAGCCCTGTCAATCATAAAGGGCGGATTTGCAGGTGCTGTTTCCCGGCAATGAGTTAAAAGATTTCCCCAGTTTGTGTGATGATTGGTGCTGAACGAACATGGCTGCGTACAGCACCAATCATCAGAGGCACATGGTGCAAACTTTGGATTTACAAAAGCTTACTCCAAGGGACAATACCGAATAGTCTCTTTAAGTCTTTATTTAAGTCTGCAGGAATAACCACTTCAATAAGATAAAGTGGTTATGGTACATAGTGTCCCTTTAAATGCATAATAAAAATAGTTATTATTACATGTGAAATATACCAATAGATCTGGTTTTACAATACTTAAGCCATAGCTGTGATGCTTTTAAATATGTTCTAAATCTATAACTTACTTTGCAAGAAATATGAACTTCAGACCTTATATTTCTGGATAATCTTTTTAAACAATTCAATATTATTACATTCAAAATATTAAAATTTAAAATAAATTTCATATATAAAAAAAATCTCAATATATAAAAAAAACAACAAAACATTTAAAAATGTAAGTCTTTTTCATAATATTAAATAATTTGAAAGGCTTATCCAACAATGTTAAATTGAAAACACAAGATCCAGCGCACTCACCTATCCACTAAACAGCAACTTCAATGTTGAAAGATTTTATTAGTTTTTTTTTTTTTTTAACACCTAATCTAGGCAAAAATAACGGGGGTTTAGTTACATTATATGATCATACATTGCATAAGCCTGCCACAACGTCAATGTACCCCATCTTTGGCAGGTCCTACACTAACAGCCTAATGTCTGCTCTTATGAGATTAACCACTTACTTGAGGGAAAAAATTCCATCTGGGGCTCTCTGCAGTACAAGGCTAAATAGGGCCCTGGGATGAGGCACCTGTGGCAGGGAGGGGTGCAAAACCAAGGAGTTGGCTATGTATGATCATATAATGTAACTAAACCCCCATTATTTTTGCCTAGATTAGATGTTTTAAAAAAAAAAAAAAATAATAAAATCTTTCAACATTGAAGTTGCTGTTTAGTGGATAGGTGAGTGCGCTGGATCTTGTGTTTTGTATTATTTGGCCCCCAGCAGCACCCCCATTTATGCATGTACAGGTGAGTGCAGCCAACCCCCCCTTGTTTCATATGTATATATTTGGGAGTCTAGCCAACTCCTTGATTTTGCACCCCTCCCTGTCACAGGTGCCTCATCCCAGGGCCCTATTTAGCCTTGTACTGCAGAGAGCCCCAGATGGATTTTTTTTTCCCTCAAGTAAGTGGTTAATCTCATAAGAGCAGACATTAGGCTGTTAGTGTAGGACCTGCCAAAGATGGGGTACATTGACGTTGTGGCAGGCTTATGCAATGTATGATCATATAATGTAACTAAACCCCCATTATTTTTGCCTAGATTAGGTGTTTTTAAAAAAACTAATAAAATCTTTCAACATTGAAGTTGCTGTTTAGTGGATAGGTGAGTGCGCTGGATCTTGTGTTTTGTATTATTTGGCCCCCAGCAGCACCCCCATTTATGCATGTACAGGTGAGTGCAGCCAACCCCCCCTTGCTTCAAATGTTAAATTGAAGCCATGATCTTTTACAAAGCTCTGAAAATTTGGGGGCGATTGAATTATAAAAAAAACAACAATAATATTTAAGCTCTTGTGATAGACCTTCCACGAAAAAATATGCATTTTTTTTCACTAAAGATGAGAGTGAATTGATAGACAAATATAGGCAGCATTTAGATCAAAATATGACAGTGAGAAATAACATTTCTAACAGAAATGTGTTCCCAAGTTTATTGTTTATAGCCTAGATTTCACAAAAGTGGTTTTCAATCCATCACAATTCACAGTTTAGTGAATAAACTCTTACATGTATTTTACAAAAAACTAAATTGAGAGCTATGAAATATATTTCCATCTTGAATAAACGTAAAGCTAACATAGTTACAACGTTTTGACCAAAGTGAAAAAGTGTATAAACAATGAAAATATAACTACTGTTCAATAATAAAATCAGCATTTTGTAGGTTTTTGGTGGCAGAAGTGGCTAACTGATTAGAATAGGAGAATTAATGTGTGTGTTCATGTAACATTTATATATTTATGTATTTATTTTAATTGGAAATAATCTAATATTACTATTATCTGATAGCTGTGCTGCAATTGCCTTCAGGATCATTGTAAAATTCCAACTATCTGTCTATGTATATTGTCTGTCTGTCCAGTTATACTTTATATTTCTATTGTCTGTCTATTGATGTATATTATATGTCTGTATTCTGTACTGTCTGTCTATGTATACTGTCTGTACATGTATATGTCATAGTTCTATTGTCTGTCTATTGATGTATACTATAAATCTATATTGTGTATTGTCTGTCTATCCAGTTATACTTTATATTTCTATTGTCTGTCTATTGATGTATACTATATGTCTCTATTATGTACTGTCTGTATATGTATACTGTCTGTCTATCCAGTTATACTTTATATTTCTATTGTCTGTCTATTTATGTATACTATATGTCTGGATTATGTACTGTCTGTCTATGTATACTGCCTGTCCATGTATACATTATATTTCTATTGTCTGTCTATTGATGTATACTATAAATCTATATTGTGTATTTTCTGTCCTTGTATAGATTTTGTCAGTCTATTGATGTATACTATATGTCTGTATTTACTGTCTGTCTATGTGTACTGTGTGTCCATGTATACATTATATTTCTATTGTCTGTCTATTGATGTATACTATATGTTTGTATTATGTACTGTCTGTCAATGTTTACTGTCTGTCCATGTATACATTATATTTTTATTGACTGTCTATTGATGTACACGATATGTCTACATTGTGTACTGTCTGTCCATGTATACTGTCTGTCCATGTATACATTATATTTCTATTGTCTGTCTATTGATGTATATTATAAGTCTATATTGTGTATTGTCTGTCTATGTATATTGTCTGTCCTTGTATAGATTTTATTGTCAGTCTATTAATGTATACTATCTGTAAGCGTATATTGTCTGTGTACACTGTCTGCTATACAAGTCGTAAAAACATTTCATACGAAATGCAAATATAACCCACACAATGAATTCTAATTTTCCAGTCATCACTCTAATTTAAATGAGTCCAAATAATGCCTTGTAACAGTTACCCTGACCTATCAAGTGACTTTGTAAAAGGCAGAATAAAATAGTTGAGATTTAAGTTTTTCTGATTGTTACTCTGCATTTTCTAATCCACAGACAGCAGCAGTTTAGCAGATCCATAATTGTAAATCTCCATGCAATGTATTTACTGACATCGCTTTTTTAAAATTAATGTGTATTTAGTTTGCACTCTCAAGTGGGGTTCTTGCTATGTATTTGCTGCTGGTTTCTGTACACACAAAGTAATTTTATAAGCAATGATATATATCAGCTGGGTGTATTTAGATTACTGAGTAATGCATCTTGTGTCTTAAAGGGACACTCCAAGCACCATAACCACTAGTGCTTGTTGCACTAGAGCTGCCCATGAAAATTTTATAGCAGGACAGAAGGCTTCATATTTGCTTAAAGGACCACTTTAGGCACCCAGATCACTTCAGCTTAATGAAGTGGTCTGGGTGCCAGGTCCAGCTAGGGTTAACGCTTTTTTTAATAAACATAGCAGTTTCAGAGAAACTGCTATGTTTATATTAGGGTTAATGCAGCCTCTAGAGCCTCTAGTGGCTGTCTCATTGACAGCCGCTAGAGGCGTTTGCGTGCTTCTCACTGTGAAAAGACGCCAGCATTATAAATGCTTTCCTATGAACTGGCTGAATGCGCGCACGGCTCCTGCCACGCATGCGCATTCAGCCGATGACGTCGCTAGGAAGGAGGAGAGGAGGAGTAGAGCTCCCCGCCCGGCGCTGGAGAAAGGTAAGATTTTAACCCCTTCCTCTCCCCAGAGCCTGGCGGGAGTGGGACCCTGAGGGTGGGAGTACCCTCAGGGCACTATAGTGCCAGGAAAACAAGTATGTTTTCCTGGCACTATTGTGGTCCTTTAAGTCTCTCTTTACTAGAACTCCACAGCAGCACATTAACATAGAGATAAAAACACCAGAGACAAAAAAAATCAGGCTTCTCCCAACTAACTATTTCCTCTTTCTTTGCTGCTCCGCAGTCAGTACAGGTCAGAGTACCACTGCCTCCTGTTATATATGGGTGGTTGTGGATATTTTACTGTATTTATGTTTATTACTGTATTGATTTATTTGTTTAGAGGGTATTTTTGCATCTACCTTCTTAGTGCTCTAGTGATTGATTTACTCTGTTTTTCTGCATCTACCTTCTTATGGCTGCAGGGATTTATTTGTTTAGAATGTGTTTACCTTCCTATTGCCATTATCATTTATTTATTTAGATTGTATTTTTATTTTCCCAATTTCTTTTGCTGTAGGGATGTATTTTCTCTTATGACTTTTCTGCATTTAGCTGTTTTGGGCCCCCCTGTCTGGGGATCGCCTTTTTCTCGGGTTTGGAGGAGGTTTCCTTTTTTTTCCCTCCCTCCCTCTACCTTTTCGGGGTGGCTTTGCCCCCTTCACTTTTCATCCGCTTTGCGGCTGCCGGAAAGCGGTCCTCCAACCGCTTCCGTTACCGACCGCCGGGACCCCTTGAGGAGAGCAGGCAAGTGCGCATGAGCCCTACTGGAAGGGTGAATGCCCTGAACCAGGCTCCCGGAAAGATAAGACTCCGAGGAGCAGCTAGCCCCTTTGCAATCGGCCAGACGGCCCTGCCTATATGGCGCGGGGGAGGCGGTGACCACCTTCTTAAAAAGGCAGATGACTTGAAGGAGTCAGACTCTCTGAGAGGAGAGCAGGCAAGGGCGCATAAGCACTACGGGTAGGGTGAAGGCCCGGAACCAGACGCCTGGAAAGATTAGACTCCGGAGAAGTGTCTAGCCCTGATACAATCTGCCTTGACGGCCAGACAACACTGCCTAGGTGGCGCAGGGGTGAAGGTCCCCGTAACCCCACCACCACCACCATGGCCGCCCTAGCTGAATGGCGGGGGGACCGGTTCCCCTCGGAGGGAGAGGACGATGGGGGTGTGGATTATGATGACGGCCCCCAGTGGCACCATGAGATGTAGAACAAAGTCCACTACAGGGGCCCTGACAACCGTGGAAGAAGAGGTCGTCTCGTGGATCACCTTAAACGAACCCCTGTTCGACCCTCGATCCATTGCTCTTCTGGGTTCTTTGGAATGGTCTCTGCCCGATCACCTGGCACCATCGGTGTGTTTCTGGGCCCGTAGACCGCTGGCTTGAGAAGCCCGCAGGATAATTCAAGCGGTATTCCCAGCCGGGCTCCCGAACAAAGTAGCCGCAAAGCCAGACTTAGACCCCGATGGGGCACTGCGGTTTTGCTGGTTAAGCACTTCTTTATTCAGGAGATCCTGAGTGCAGCCCACTGCAGTACCTATATATTAAGTCCGCACTGGCAAGCCGATTGTTCTCCGTTACACGAGTGAGTTGTGCTAGTGGAACATACGAGGAGGTATAATATGTGTCCTTTTTTTACATGGAAATACTTGATGGAGGCTTATCTCAGCTCCAACCCGTACCTTTTTATAGGGGATTGGACCCTTGACCTGGAATTTCACACTTGCCTCCACTTCCGGATGACATCCTAGACGGGGCCTCAAGTCTGGGGTGGCAGACGAACCTATCCTAAACGCAATTTGGACCACTGGAGGCCCTTGGGAAAGGGATCTGAGCCCCTCGAAGTCCCAGCACGAGTCTACGATTGAACGTATATTCACTTTTAGTTACTTTGAATTAGACACGGCCCTCAAGAAACTTCTAGAGACCGCGGGGCCCAGTTCTGGTAAGGTGGCCTCTATTTTCTCCCTGGCGAGATAGGTATGTTGTGCATCAGTCATTTGGGCGATAATACAACCTGGTTGGCAGGTTGGGAGGAATTGAGGTCATTCAGGAATACCAGAACTATCTGAAGAGATCTTTCTCGTTTTCCACGCGTTGGGACCCGGACGCGACTCTTCATTGATATAGGACATCTTACTGGACGGGCTTGCCAGACCCCCTGAGAGGTACCTCCCAGACCGAAAGGTCAGACGCTCCCTGCGTTCTCCCTTGTTCGAGTCCCTGGATTTCGTTTTCAACCAGGGAGATATCAACCTCCTCTACATCTCAAGTAGTAGAGTACTGGAGGTCGGATTGGACGCCTCCTACGCTCTCCTCTGCCAGAGTTCTCGTACGTATGGAATAGTTTTCTCTGGGAGGACCCGATGTCAAGACTTTAGTCCATGAAAGAGGACCCATCAGGCCCCGACCAGTTTGGCTGGATGACGGCCTCGCTCTGCTTAGAATTCCCTTTACGATTCCTGAGGGAATTCATCTCCCCAGGGGGTACACACATTTTTGTCATGCTCCTATTGTGGGTTCTGTCGGGTTTTGCCCATTCACTGACTCTGGATTTATTTCCGTTATTATACCTTGTTTTTCTTTCAGATGGGTTCGGTGGATCGGACCTTAGTTGTCTATCAGCCTTAGTTGGACCCGAGGGTCATATTCTTACTTTGGTAATGCTCCCATCTTTAGGTGGTGTTCTACGTCACCGTTTGTTTAAATGGTTCTTCCCTTTTTCTCGCCCTTCATGTACCGCTTGGTTATGGTTGGCATTGGCGGGCCGTATAGGTTTTTTCGGTTCACTTCAGTCAGTAACATGGCTACTTCAGGTACCGACATGGCGGACGTTTTTCTCCAAGACATCGTACGCTTTCCTGACGGTTACGAGGAGCTATCTTTGCAGAGTTTAGGTTGGTACTGCGGATTGTTTTTTTTTTTTTTCTGTTCTTTGCTGTCCGAGCGTTAAAACAGCAAATATGAAGCCTCCTGTCATGCTATAAAATTGTAGATTATATTGGCTTTAGTGTAACTATAATCTTAATTTTATTAATGACAGGAGGCAAATATTTCCCTCCCAGTGTCTCCCTCCCCTTGTTGTTTGTTGGTTTGACTGACTTGTTTATTCACCTGGTCTCCTGGGCTAGGTTGGTTATCTGGGGAATTTGGGGTTTATCTGAGATATGGTACCGTCAGTATTTTATGATGGGGATTCAGGTTTTTTTTCCACTATCTGGAATATTATACTGTCAGTATTTACGATGGGGATTCAGGTTTTTCTCAGTACATTTCATTCGCTAATCAGTGTTTTCGACTCTTTCTCATTTCAGTTTAATGGTTGGGCTACAGTTCTTAGATCCGACTACTCTACAGGATAAAGGTCAAGGCTTCACCCACTGGTTCCACGGTTTCAATTTCGGATGGAATTCATTGTTATGTTATGTTTGTTTCTCCTGTTATTGTATTTGTGGTGTATTGTTCATGTACTTTATTTGTCGCAGCGTGAAAGAGGAAATAGTTAGTTGGGAGAAGCCTTTTATAGATTCCTGATTTTTTTTTGTCTCTGGTGTTTTTATCTCTATGTTAATGTGCTGCTGTGGAGTTCTAGTAAAGAGAGACTTAAGCAAATATTCGCCTCCTGTCATTAATAAAATTAAGATTATAGTTACACTAAAACTAGTATAATCTACAATTTACTTCATTCAAGTGATTTTTACATTGATATTCATGGCTCAGACTCTTGGCCCCTTTCTACTTACATTATCTGAGGAAGTGTACTTTACCCATTTAGCCACCCATCCAGATATTTGTATGGCATGATCACAGTACACAGCACAGTACCCTGCCTAGCTGAATGGTATCTCCAGGCTGTGTGCTCACACCATACAAATGCTTGTACAGCTTAATAAGAAAGCTAGTCTTCTCCATATGATGGTAATGGGAAGGGGATGAAGCCCTGGTGCTGAAGACAAAAGTAACAAGCTGGAGTGGTAAGGATTTAAAAGTCATGTTATCAGTGAAAGCTTTCTAGTGCCAAAACCATAAGAAAAAGTTGCAGTGGTTATGGTGCTAGGAGTGTCCCTTTAACACAAAACACTTATTTATCACCCATGCCACAGGTTCACTATTATACTCAGAGGTGTTTGTCGGGTGTTAAGTTGAGGTTTGAGCTTCCTGGGCTGACCGATTAACCCAGAATTACAATGTATACCCATTGTCTGTGTGCCATATGTGTACTTTATCATTCACCCACCTTCTATGGTACGCAGTTCCACCGTGCAGTTCTTCTTCACTCGCCCGTACACTGCCAGTCCTACGTAATTCCCAGCATCGGTTTTCCTAACATTAAGCAGGTGCAGAGAGAAGTCTCCTGAATCCAACATGGGCTTCCTGACCGAGGCACGTGAGATTAGGGGCAGGTTGGTGTACATAATCCCACTGGGGTACACTGAGACCACATTCACAGGTTCCCTAAAAGGGAAAAACAAGGGTTAGAGAGAACAGACTTAGTAAAGAGGAGATAACAAGTAAAATGAAACTGGGTAAATGGGGAATAAAATGGAGAGAGATTTAAATGAAGATGGAAAGAATGCAATGAGGCTTAGATAGTTAAAAGAGGCAAGGAGGGATAATATTTGGGTTATAAAAAGAGGAGAGTTTGGATATTTTTTTTCCGCTTAGCCGCGGAACAAAGCAGGCACCATTTTCCACTGCTCCAACGGCGCTCTGCTCAGTCCGCCGACAATCACACAATTTACAGCCCATCCAGCCACACTAACAACGGTACAAGTGAGCAGAGGCCACCCAGCATCGATTCATGCTGTTTGTTGCAAAACCCGATGTCACGAGTGTGGGCTATAGGCCCAGCGGAGACAATGGGGAAAGTGGAAGTGAGGGGGTTGGTCTGGCAATTTATTGCCCACTCTATGCAATTCCTTGTGTCCAGCTCTGGTTTTATGGTCTAGGCCTGGTGCAAGATCAAAGACCACAACAAATGTCATCCCAAGGTTTACAAAAAAACAACTCTTAACATATCTCAACACACATCAAACACCAACTCATGCTTTTGGCATGATACCCGGACAAAACCGGCGGCACACACCCACCACAACTCTCCCCCCCCGGCCCCCAGCCCCCTTGGTTAGGGGCACTACAAACCAAACCAGCCCACTTATTTGTTACCGCAACACCACTTTTACTTAAGCCCCAAAACGGACCACCAAAGTTACTCTCGACGAGAGGCACCCACAGACCACCACACCCACAGACTTTCGCATACTCATACCCACTCAACGAACGATTGCAGCAACTCTAGTGGGCCCAAAACAAACCCGCCCAACGCAGTACTTGACCACACCTAGCTAGCCTTCAGACAGGCACCACAGACCCATAAGCACAAGTCAAAGGGTACCGACTGTAGTCACGACAGGGATGTCCTCGCAGCACTCACCAGAAAGACAAGCGACCCCCAAATACGAGGGCCCAGGTCAAGCGACAACTAATCTTGGACACACATACTAGAACACATGGTCCCACCACACCGGGTATCCAGCAAACAACTAAGAGTTTACTATTGTTACATAAGCGTGATATCTGGTTCATACTGCTTGTTTTTAAAAAATGGTGCATTTTTCTCAACATGTCTGATACTTTTACACCATCGCAATACCACTCGGTCATGTCTGAACTTGCAAACGTTTTTCTTTATATGCAAAAAAACAAAAAACAGAATTTTTGGTCTCTTATGTGTATAAAAATTTTTTTAATAACAAACATAAAATTATTAATTTTGTGATCAGTCCAACATGAAAATCTAGCAAGTATATTTTATTCCATCTTTTAAGTCACAAATTGAGTATATATTTTTAATATTTTTGCATAGGCCTAATTCATTTTTGTTTCTTTTTATTTATTTATTTTTGTGCACATAAGAGAGAAGTTATGTGAATATTAATAATAATGTTCAATTAAAGTAATATTTTAAAATGACCTCAATGGACATCTCAATTTTCAGTAAAAATCTGATCCATTTAGGTATGGCTATGTAACGGCACTCCAACATAGAAACATGTAGTGACTCCGTGCTATATTGTCATGTATGTGCTAAGGAATATACATTAATCCGTTTTATTAAACCGTAATGTTCCAATTTAACAGGAAACACAGTGTTTTTTGTAAAAGCTTTAGCAATGTAGCAGGTGTTTCCAACTGTGTGTAATTTGTGGTATTTTAACTCCTAAAGTCGGACTGTGTTGTCATAACAACATGCTCTTTAAAGATTTTATTCCGAAATCGAATATCCCACCTTACCTACAGAAGGGCAGTATGGAACTGTCAATGTTAAATAAGCAGGGCATTCTATGCTTACATAAGGCATTTTGGCACCTAACTTGGATGATAGTAAAGTTTAACCTTTCCTTTCAGGGTTAAATATTTGGGAAGCTCTGTGGGTCACAAAGCAAGATGTAGCTACAATGTTTTCAGGCGACGTATCGCATCCTCTTGGTCAATCTCTAGGACCATGAGTTACCAGCGACAGACGAATAGGATTTTTGCGCGATAGATATGGAATATTACGGAAGTAAAGCCCTACATCTCCATATGGCGAAAGGGGCCAGTGTTAATCAAATCTTAGATTCAGGTAAAGTAACCACTTTTCATTTCTTCCTAAATTTATGACGTAACTCCACGCTATTTGCCATACATAAATATGCCAGGATTATTAGAATAAATAATGCGGGCAGAATAAATAAATCTGCATAAATTCTACTTTCTTGGTAATTGTTTGAAAAGAATCGAAGTGACAATCTCACTGTACACGTTCCACATCACGATCCCATACTACTATTTTACTGTGAATGTTTAAATGCCTGTTGTTTGTTTATTGTGCTCTGTTCTGCAGATTTTATAATAAACTGTTCTTCTCTTAATATATGATGAAAACTAGAAATACGTTTTGTGAAGTTTCTGTAGCTGTAATACTGGGATTTTGCCTTTGTTTATTCCTGTCTATATTCCAAATAAAAAGATTGAAATGAAAAAAATACTTTCTGCTTTCAGCTGTTTTGTGATAATAAACTCTATTAATGGAATTTATGGACAAGAGCCGAATCCTGCAAACACAGTTGGATTTTATCACTAAACCTGCAATTACTGAGAATTGACCAGGAAATCCCAAATTGGAGTTGGAGATTCTCATTTTCAGTTCTTATTTTCGCCTAACAATTGCAATTGCCTTGTCAGTTCTTCACAATTCCAGTTTTAGTCTAAATAAAGAACTATTGGGGCATTACAATATGGCTTAATATATTCTATCACTGTTTACAGATCAGAAATGGTAATAATTGTTATTAAGTATTCTTTAATTGTATCTTCCTATTTTTTTTATTATTTTTTAGTTTTTTTTAATGTGCCCATTATAATTACTTTATTAGCATTATAGCCTTATTTGGGCATTTTCTATTTTCTTGATACTCTAGGTGCCAGTTTGATTTAAACCATAGACATTTACTTGTAAAATAGCCAATTCAGTGACAGAAATAAATTGTACTTATGGACAAACAGCTGTGAGTTGAGACAGTTATATAATAACATCTAGCCATATGGTGACAAATTGCTACAAAATGGCAGATAATAAAGTGATAGACTTAAAACAATAACAGATAATCATGCAGTGTATGATAACCACGCAGTGTGTAATAGCCATGCAGTGCATGAAAGCCATTCAGTGTATGATAACCACGCTGATAGCCACGCAGTGTGTGATAACATGCAGTGTATGATAACCACGCAGTGTATGATAACCACGCAGTGTATGATAGCCATGCAGTGTATGATAACCACGCAGTGTGATAGCCATGCAGTGTATGATAGCCACGCAGTGTATGATAGCCACGCAGTGTGTGATAGCCACGCAGTGCATGGATAGCCAGGCAGTGCATGGAAAGCCAGGCAGTGCATGGATAGCCAGGCAGTGTGTGATAGCCAGGCAGTGTGTGATAGCCAGGCAGTGTGTGATATCCTCGCAGTGTATGATAACCATGCAGTGTGTGTGATAACCACGCAGTGTGTGATAGCCAGGCAGTGTATGATAGCCAGGCAGTGTATGATAGCCAGGCAATGTATGATAGCCAGGCAGTGTATGATAACCACACAGTGTGTGATAACCACGCAGTGCGCGATAGCCACGCAGTGCGTGATAACCATGCAGTGCGTGATAACCATGCAGTGTGTGATAGCCATGCAGTGTGTGATAGCAATAGCCATACAGTGTATAATAGCCATGCAGTATGTGATAGCCATGCAGTGTATGATAACTACACAGTGTGTGACAGCCATACAGTGTATGATAACCACGCAGTGTGTGATAGCCAGGCAGTGTATGATAACCATGCAGTGCGTGATAGCCATGCAGTGTGTGATAGCCATGCAGTGTGTTGGCAATAGCCATACAGTGTATAATAGCCATGCAGTATGTGATAGCCATGCAGTATATGATAACTACACAGTGTATGATAACCATGCAGTGTGTGACAGCCATGCAGTGTGTGACAGCCATGCAGTGTATGATAGCCATACATTGCATGACAGCCATGCAGTGTGTGATAGCCATGCAGTATATGACAGCCATGCAGCGTGTGATAACCATGCAGTGTATGACAGCCATGCAGCGTGTGATAGCCATGCAGTGTATGATAGCCATAGAATTACAAATAGCTATGCAGTAACACAGACAATAAAAGAGACAGATAACTAAGCAGTTACAGATGACGGGGCAGAGTAAAAAAACGTGCGATGTGAGCTGTACAGTGGAAGATAGTCATCTATAAAGACAGATAGGAATTCAGTAATATTTCTATTTACCTATTTATCCTGCGCCAATGCAGGGATACTGCAGGATATTTTGAGTTACTTTTCTGGTTTAGCTGCTCTGGGGACATCAGACATGGCAAAGTAACCCTGTCACCAATGACACCAGTCACCACCACATGAGACCCTTGATGGGAACAAAAAAAAAAAAAAAGATTCTGAAAATATTAGATGCCTTCATAAACTCTAGACAACTACTTATGCAATAAAAGCACTTGGAGGAGCATAAATTATTTATTAACATAAACCAATAACTAAACATTTACCATGGACTAAACAATAATTATGCTACGTAATTGTTCTAGATATTTATTCTTGGGTTTTATTGCTCTGCCATACACTCATACACACCGCACTGTGAGTTTTATTGCTGTGGAGCTCTGTGATACACTCATACACACTGTACATTACTGTGAATTTATTGCCGTGGAGCTCTGTGATACACTTATACACACTGTACATTATTGTGAGTTTTATTGCTGTGGAGCTCTCTATGATACACTCATACACACCGCACATTACTGTGAATTTTATTGCTGTGGAGCTCTGTGATACAATTACATAATACTGTCAGCGTTATTTACTAAAATGAGAATTCTTAGGAATTCAAAGTGAATTTCAAATTTATGCTAAAGTAGCCAAACTACAAGCATATTAGAATTGGAGAATTGTTCCTGTTTGGCTATTCAGTTCTTAAATTTGAAATTCACTTTGAATTCAGTTTAATTTCCCGACAATTCTCACGTTAGTGAATAACCCTGTGTGAGCTTTACTGTTGTGGAGCTTTGTGACACACATAAGAAGCATGGATTACTCTGTTTATGCACTACGCTCTGCACATTTATACAGCAGTAAATAACGCTCTGTGCACTGCAAGATCAGCACAGCTCTGTGACTTGCACACTGTCAGATCTAAAGTAACTCACTGCTCTGCACTCTATCTAGCGCTCCTTACCTGCACAGAGTGCTGAAAGACACAGGATGCAGATCAAGCCCAGTGACACCTTCATCTCTCTTTCTCTTACTTTGCCTGTTCTTCTATCACACTCTCTCGCCCTCTCTCTATATCTGTTTATCTCTCGCCCTCTCACACGTCACATACAGAATTTGCTGACTTTCTTCCCAGCCCTGATACCCGTAGCTGAGAAGTGACTCTCTCTGGAAAATGTGCATCTCTCTCTCTCTCGCTGTCTCTGAATGAGACAGTCTCCTGGGCTGGAAAATATGAAGAGTCTGTTTACTGCAGAGATATGTACAGCCCTGTATTAAACCGAACATTACACTACATGGGTGACACAGTACACTCTGTAACACTTAAGTCTATTTTATGCTCTAATAAATTATTACCCTCCAATAAGTTTAATTTGTTTGCGGAATGTGGACAAATAAGTAAGTTTTATCCCGCTATCCATGAACCAGTTTAGTAGCCGTTCTCTGAACTCTCTCTAAGGTATCAATATCCTTCTGGAGATACGGTCTCCAGTACTGCGTACAATACTCCTAGTGAGATCTCACCAGTGTTCTGTACAATGGCATGAGCACTTCCCTCTTTCTACTGCTAATACTAATGGCTGTAGAAAATATAAATAAATTGAGACATCCAGGATTTTGCAGTTCTGCATTATAAAGTTATCTCCATTAGTTTCTAAAGTTTTGCATTTTAAAGGTGCACTTCATTGGAATAACCTAAAAGAAATCACTATTTAGTAGATATACTCCAATCAAAATATGCATGCATTTATTTCTGCCTTTTTTTCTTTTGGGGAATATACAAAAGTGCAGATTTATTACAATATTGTGAACAAGGCCACCATAATAAGCAGCAGTGATAGGAGTTGTAACTAACGCATCTCTGCTCTGGCGGTCAAATAAGAGGGGGGACAAACTAAATGAAACTGTAAACAGAATGCATTTCATGTCTACTGGACGCTTTCTCAACATCAAGGAAGGGAGTAGAGTGATGAGAATAAGTAAAGGAGTGGATGAATAGTGGGGATGGATGGATGGATGGATGGTTGGATGGAAGATGGATGGATGAAAAGTTGGATGGATCAAAGATGGATGGTTGAGTGGTTGGATGGATCGAAGATGGATGGTTGAGTGGTTGGATGGATGAGTGGTTGGATGGATCGAAGATGGATGGTTGAGTGGTTGGATGGAAGATGGATGGATGAGTGGTTGGATGGAAGATGGATGGATGAGTGGTTGGATGGATCTAAGATGGATGGTTGAGTGGTTGGATGGATCGAAGATGGATGGTTGAGTGGTTGGATGGATGAGTGGTTGGATGGATCAAAGATGGATGGTTGAGTGGTTAGATGGAAGATGGATGGTTGAGTGGTTGGATGGATCGAAGATGGATGGTTAAGTGGTTGGATGGAAGATGGATGGTTGAGTGGTTGGATGGAAGATGGATGGATGAGTGGTTGGATGGATCTAAGATGGATGGTTGAGTGGTTAGATGGAAGATGGATGGTTGAGTGGTTGGATGGATGATTGGATGAAAGATAGATGGATGAACATGGGAGTAGAAGGGTCAGTGTAAATGAAGTAGTAAATTGATGCACAATGTTGTACAATCTTCCAGGTTAACAAAATATCAGGTTCTCTATACTTTGAAATGTGGACAACAAGTTATCTGATAATTGTGTACAACCGTGATAAGGTGGAAATAATTATTACGCACACATACAAAAAGTATCCTTTTGAATAAAGAACATATACACATCATGGGCTAAGTTGGCAGGAAACATGGTGAAAACCAAAGGAAATAAGTTACCTGCGCTCTTCCCAGATCCCTATGCATATTTACACAAATGGAGGCTATTTATTTACTCCAATGGCCATTAAAGGGGATGCTCACCTGCCACGTCAAGACTATGCACCTTGCTTCCTTGAGCTTCTGGCAAATACATCTCTAATGAGACAGAGAGGGGTATTTTTCTAAACCCCTACATACGTATTAACCCTTAATAGGGAACACATAGGGTGGGCGGCAGCATTGTAACATAGCTGTGTGATACAAAAGTGAATACAAATAAACAAAAACAAGTCCTGCGCTCAAACTCCCCCTACTCTTAGTGGCAGCAACAACCACAGTACACATCAGCCCCAATACATACAGTAAAAACTGAAGACAAAAAGTTACCTGCACTCTTCCCAAATCCCTATGTATATTTACACAAATGGAGGTTATTTAGTTACTCCAATAGCCATTAGAAGGAATGCCCACCCGGCACATCAAGGCAAACCTCTTAGGTAGGTCATTCACTGACTATTCACCTTGCTTCCATGAGCTTCTGGCAAAGATATCTCTAATGAGGAGATAATGGTGGAGAAAACAATATTTGAAATGGTTGAGAAAAAAATATTTAAAATGGTTAACTGAAGGGTATTTTAACTGTGCAACCAACAACAGAGACCACAGTAGTAAACCACAAATGCTGAGCTAAATGGAGATATTTATGTTAGGACAAGTCAAGCAGAACTTCTAGAAAGTTGTAAACACAAATTCCCATATAGAACAGATAATACGTTCCTCAACTACAAATGATCTACCAACACTGTTTTAGCAAACATGAAATAGAAACTTTCATAGAAAACATAAGACTTGCGCTAGTGGAACACTTAGCATCGTATAAGTCATAACCATAAGGTCCCAGGCTCAGCTACTGCCGCACTTATTGAAAACCACAATATTACAGTTTCCTCCAGAGAACTGCACAATAAATGTTTAACAGTGTATGTAGGATGGTGACATTGTATGTAGGGCGCTGACGCTGTATGTAGGACATTATCACACTGTGGGATTTATTCAATAAACATAAATCGTAGCGAATTGAAAGTCAAACTGAAAAGTTTAGGCAAAAGAAACACATACAGCCAAAAGAAAAACCAGTGTAACAATAAGTGTGAAAAAAATAGGGCTTCTTGTGCAAGTAAACCAACAAAATAACATTTATTGCATAGCAGCTGTGGCTCTCAGTCGATACTCTTTGTATCACACAACCAAAAAGTAAAATACCAATAAGTACTTCAGTGTTTAGGTGATATGCCCCACTTCCCAAACACTAAATTGCAAGCACAATGCTAAGTAAATACAGGGAGTGCAGAATTATTAGGCAAATGAGTATTTTGACTACATCATCCTCTTTATGCATGTTGTCTTACTCCAAGCTGTATAGGCTCGAAAGCCTACTACCAATTAAGCATATTAGGTGATGTGCATCTCTGTAATGAGAAGGGTGTGGTCTAATGACATCAACACCCTATATCAGGTGTGCATAATTATTAGGCAACTTCCTTTCCTTTGGCAAAATGGGTCAAAAGAAGGACTTGACAGGCTCAGAAAAGTCAAAAATAGTGAGATATCTTGCAGAGGGATGCAGCACTCTTAAAATTGCAAAGCTTCTGAAGCGTGATCATCGAACAATCAAGCGTTTCATTCAAAATAGTCAACAGGGTCGCAAGAAGCGTGTGGAAAAACCAAGGCGCAAAATAACTGCCCATGAACTGAGAAAAGTCAAGCGTGCAGCTGCCACGATGCCACTTGCCACCAGTTTGGCCATATTTCAGAGCTGCAACATCACTGGAGTGCCCAAAAGCACAAGGTGTGCAATACTCAGAGACATGGCCAAGGTAAGAAAGGCTGAAAGACGACCACCACTGAACAAGACACACAAGCTGAAGCGTCAAGACTGGGCCAAGAAATATCTCAAGACTGATTTTTCTAAGGTTTTATGGACTGATGAAATGAGAGTGAGTCTTGATGGGCCAGATGGATGGGCCCGTGGCTGGATTGGTAAAGGGCAGAGAGCTCCAGTCCGACTCAGACGCCAGCAAGGTGGAGGTGGAGTACTGGTTTGGGCTGGTATCATCAAAGATGAGCTTGTGGGGCCTTTTAGGGTTGAGGATGGAGTCAAGCTCAACTCCCAGTCCTACTGCCAGTTCCTGGAAGACACCTTCTTCAAGCAGTGGTACAGGAAGAAGTCTGCATCCTTCAAGAAAAACATGATTTTCATGCAGGACAATGCTCCATCACACGCGTCCAAGTACTCCACAGCGTGGCTGGCAAGAAAGGGTATAAAAGAAAATCTAATGACATGGCCTCCTTGTTCACCTGATCTGAACCCCATTGAGAACCTGTGGTCCATCATCAAATGTGAGATTTACAAGGAGGGAAAACAGTACACCTCTCTGAACAGTGTCTGGGAGGCTGTGGTTGCTGCTGCACGCAATGTTGATGGTGAACAGATCAAAACACTGACAGAATCCATGGATGGCAGGCTTTTGAGTGTCCTTGCAAAGAAAGGTGGCTATATTGGTCACTGATTTGTTTTTGTTTTGTTTTTGAATGTCAGAAATGTATATTTGTGAATGTTGAGATGTTATATTGGTTTCACTGGTAATAATAAATAATTGAAATGGGTATATATTTGTTTTTTGTTAAGTTGCCTAATAATTATGCACAGTAATAGTCACCTGCACACACAGATATCCCCCTAACATAGCTATAACTAAAAACAAACTAAAAACTACTTCCAAAAATATTCAGCTTTGATATTAATGAGTTTTTTGGGTTCATTGAGAACATGGTTGTTGTTCAATAATAAAATTAATCCTCAAAAATACAACTTGCCTAATAATTCTGCACTCCCTGTATATATATAGAAATCACGGGGAGCATTCTGATTTATATATATATATCTTACAGTTAAAGTGCAGAAATCAGTTAATGTGCACATTACCTAGTTAATCTGCAGATTAACTAGGGCGATCTGTTAAAGTGCAGAAAATGATTTCATTTCTGAAATATTCTGCACATTACCAACTAGGCTCTGGAGGACACCATGGTGTGCACAGGCTGCTGTTCTGTTCTTGTCTGGACCACATAGTCACAGACCTCTTCAAACAGTTATCCCGAACTGGTAAGAAACGAGGAGCCCCACCACCACAAGAGAGCGAGCGCTTCCTGCACATTATGCAGCAACAACCTGAAATAATCCCAGCAGATGCTCTCCACTGTTTTCAATATCATCATATATTTGAAGACTGTCGGAATCAGTGGTCCATGAGCAGACCTCTCCTTGGTCTCATTCTCCTCAATGAGAGAAGTATTTCTCGGACTTACGGAGCAGCATTGTTAGTAGCCAGCCCCCCCTCTGAGAAGCAACAAGCCATGTGTCTATGCTTTGAGAATTTGATGGTGGAGGGCATTGAAAGGAACTTGCTCACAAAAAGAATCGAGACAGGTTCACACAGAATCTTTCTGCCTTCAGACGAGAAGTGAACGACTCTGCAGAGACTGCACTGAAAGGGTGAAACAGGTTCTGCGCGGACGTTTTTGTAATAAATAATTTCCTCTTTTACCGAGGGAAAGAAACAAACTTTTGCACTGAAAGGGTGAAACATGGTTTTGCAAGGACGTTGTTTTTTGTAATAAATAATTCCTCTTTTACAGAGGGAAAGAAACAAACATTTTGCACTTTAACTAGACGGAAGCAGTTTATGTGCACATTACCTAGGTAAAGTGCAGAAAACTCTTGATTCTGCACTTTAACTTAGCAAATCAGTTAATCTGCAGATTAACTAGTTAATGTGCACATTAACTGATTTCTCACTTTAGTATTCCGGAGGTGGGGCACATCACCTAAATACTGAAGTACTTATTTGGGTTATACACAGCGAAAAATTCTCCAACTTAACCCCTTAAGGACCAAACTTCTGGAATAAAAGGGAATTACGACATGTCACACATGTCATGTGTCCTTAAGGGGTTAAGAGTCTGGCAATTCTAGCCTATAGTTTGCAATTCATATTTGAATCCACATCAATTTGGTCCTTATTGAATAAGCCCCTTTAAGTGGGACACTGGTAGTCTTTGTGTAATATTGTATGTTGGATACTATATACAGGACACATAAAAAGTATGTGTGTATGTAGATGACTGACAAGGTATGTAAACAGTGGCGTAACTAGCACGGTCGCAGGCCTGTGACTGATGGCCTCTCACTCCAGGGGGCCGGGCCACACAGTCAACCCATGTGACTGGTGTGCGGGCATAACTTCAGAACCAGTGCATGGCCACCGTTCAACTGATGACCGGCAGGAGGGGAGAACACAGCATGCTCCTGCCAGTTATTGCATATAGCATGGCCAAGCACCACGCTACATGGAGTCAGCAGGTACAGAAGGGGGGAATGAGACACATGGATAATCTGGAAAGATGAGACACATGGATAAGCTGGGGGAGGGGGATGAGAGACACATGAGAGGATGAGACACATGGAGGAGCATAGGCAAGAAAGAGACACATGAGGGGATGAAACAAATGGAGGAGCTGGGGAAGAATGAGACACATGGAGGAGCTGGTGGGAGAATCAGACAAATGGATGAGCTGGGAAGAAGAATGAGACACATGGAGAAGCTGGGAGGAAAAATGAGACGCATGCAGCACCTGGGAGGTAGGATGAGATACATGAAGGAGCTGGTGTGGGTGAGACACATGGGGAAATGAGACACATGAATAAGCTGGGGGAGAATGAGACACATGGGTGGACTGCAGGGCAATTTTTGCACTTGTGCCCAGTGGTTTCTAGTTACACCTCTGTATGTAGGCTTCTATGGCCAGTGGTGGCTGGTGATGTATTTAGATGGCAGGAAAGAAGACACACATACTTCCTATTGCCGATCACGTCTCTGTATAGTTGTTGAATTCCCCTTGCGCGGCCAAATGTCCCCCATTATATTTTTCTGTATTTTCAACCCCCTCCCCATGTAACAGAGATTTCCATCCTCCATTCTCAGATTCCGTTTCCCCATTAAAGGGCCCCATTCCACCTATGTAGGCCCCCATCATTACATGTCCCTATTCGTCTGCCCTTGATCCCATCCCCCATTACAGGTTCATATAGCTCGTTTAAAGTGCCCTTTTCACTCTGTATTATACTGATTCCACTGTTAGAGGTCCGCATCACCCCTTCCCTGGTGTCTTGTTGACATTAGAGGACCAAATTCCTCTTCTTAGGTCCCTATTCTGACAGAATAGGTTGCCACTCTCCTTCTCAGGCCCCTATTCCAAAAGTAGAGGTTCCCAGCTCTTTTTTCTCACAGTAGAGGTTGCCAGGTCTATGTTCTGACAGTAGAGGTTCTCGGGTTTTCGTTCTGACAGTTGATGTTCCCAGGTCTTCATTCTGACAGTAGAGGATCCCAGTTCTACGTTCTGACAGTAGTGGTTCTAAGGTCTGTGTTCTGACAGTACAGGTTCCCAGGTCTATGTTCTGACAGTAGAGGTTCCCAGATCTACGTTCTGACAGTAGAGGTTCCCAGATCTACATTTTGACAGTAGAGGTTCACAGGTCTTTATTCTGACAGTACAGGTTCCCAGGTCTACGTTCTGACAGTAGAGGTTCTAAGGTCCTTGTTCTGACAGTACAGGTTCCCAGGTCTACGTTCTGACAGTAGAGGTTCCCAGATCTACATTTTCACACAGTAGAGGTTCCCAGGTCTTCGCTGTGACAATATTATTATTATTGGTTATTGTTTATATATCGCCAGCTTATTCCACAGCCCTCTACAATAAGAGGGGAATTTATCAAATGAGACAATAATAAAATGTAACAGGAACAATAGGTAGTTGAGGACCCTGCTCAAACAAGCTTACAATCTAGAGGAGGTGGGGTATAAAAACACAATAGGAAGGGTACAGATTCCCAGGTCTTTGTTCTGACAGTAGAGGTCCCCAGGTGTTGCTGCTGTACTCTTTGGCTCCTGATGCTTCAGTAAACAGGAACCAACTGAGTTCTATACTCCCGCACACGTGCAAGATTACAACACTGAGGTCTATGGGGGATCCAGCCAGAAACTGCATAGACAGAGTCTGAACCCAACAGCCATCATTTGGCTGCTGGCATTGCAGAAACGTTGGCTGCGAAGCTTTGCCCTTTGTCAACCTCAGACTTTTACCATAAGACAAAGTAGTCCTTTTGGATTGCGTTGGAATTTCAAGGAAATTAAATTCCAACGCAGTCTTGATTAGTATTCCAATAAGAATATATATATTTATGAAATACTGGAAACCAGTGGACCCCAAGGATCAATTCCATTGGCAACTGTTCCCTTTTTATGTTTTTTGCAGCAATTTTCAAACCATACCAATAATAATAAAATAACTAGAAAAGCTACAATTTCTGGTGAAATTGTGTGAAGTGTTCTTGCCTCCACCAGTAGTCTACAACTGGAGTGGGCGGAGTAACTGTTATCATTTACATAGCACATTTAATTGCAACGTTGTTGCACAGTTACATTAACCCCTTAAGACCGGAGGGCGTACTATTACGTCCTCTAATAGGCGGCTCTAAACGCCGCCGGGCGTAATAGTACGCCCTCCGGTCTTTCTGTACTTACCCGGTCGCCGGCGGTCCCACGCCGGCGATCGCGGTGGGGGGACTCCCAGGGAGCCCCCCGCGGCACGACCGTCCTCCAGGAAGCCCCCCGGCCGTGTGAGAGTGGGGTCCTAGCGAGGACCCCACAATCACATGGCCGGGTATAGCTGGCTTCTGTATTGCCAGCAGGGGGGCTGCCTGTAATTACAGGGGGTCCCCCTGCTGGCTGAAAATAAAAGTAAAATAAGTTAAAAGTGTAAAAAAATAAAATTATATATACTTAGATCATAAATATATATTATATATATATGATCAAAGTATATATATACACATATACATACACACATGTACACCGTCTAGGTGTATTTTACTATTAATATATATATAATTATATATATATATTAATATCAAATTACACGTAGACTGATACTGATTAAATATATATATAATTATTGTTATATATATATTTATATATATTATAAAAAAAATTAAAATGTAAATACGTTAAAAAATAAAATTACAAAAATAATTAAAAATAAATAATTAAAAATATATAGATGTGTGTTATTTCGTTCTAACTGTATTGTGAAATTAATATATATATATATATATCAAAATACACATAGAACGAAATAATATATATATTTATACACATAAATATATACGTATATATCACTATATATATACCTATATATAAATAAAAATATTTAAAAAATTATATAGATATATACATATATATACACATACGTATATATATACATATATTGATTCTACATATATATTTATGTAATATTTTTACATAATTAGGTATCTTAATTAATTACAATTAGCAGGACCTGCATGACAACCCATGCCGAAAGTAAAGGGAATTTAATTTGCTAGCACTATATTTAACCCTATAACTTTCCGAGACACCATAAAACCTGTACATGGGGGGTACTGTTCTACTCGGGAGACTTCGCTGAACACAAATATTAGTGTTTCAAAACAGTAAAATGTATTACAACGATGATATCGCCAGTAAAAGTGACGTTTTTTGCATTTTTCACGCACAAACAGCATTAAACGGACAATATTATTGCTATGATACTTTTTACTGTTTTGAAACACAAATATTTGTGTTCAGTGAAGTCTCCCGAGTACAACAGTACCCCTCATGTACAGGTTTTATGGTGTTTTCAAAAGTTACAGCGTCAAATATAAGGCTTGCGTTTCATTTTTTTCACATTAAAATTCGCCAGATTGGTTACGTTGCCTTTGAGACCCTATGGTAGCCCAAGAATGAAAATTACCCCTATGATGGCATACCATTTGCAATAGTAGACAACCCAAGGTATTGCAAACAGGGTATGTCCAGTCTTTTTTAGTAGCCACTTAGTCACAAACACTGGCCAAAATTGGCGTTTTTTGCATTTTTCACACACAAACAAATACTAACGCTAACTTTGGCCAGTGTTTGTGACCAAATGGCTACTAAAAAAGACTGGACATACCCCATTTGCAATACCTTGGGTTGTCTACTATTGCAAATGGTATGCCATTAAGGGTGTAAATTTAATTCCCGGCTACTATAAAGTCCCAAAGGCAGCGTAACCAATCTGGCGAATTTCAATTTCAAATGTAACGTGCTATATTTGACCCTGTAACTTCCCAAAACGCCATAAAACCTGTACATAGGGGGTACTGTTTTACACGTGAGACTTTGCTGAATACAAATATGTGTATTTTATTGCAGTAAAAGCAAACAGTATTATGACACTGACCGTTAAAATGTCATGTAGAACTAAAAAAATCCAAAAAATCGTATTTTCTCCCATTTTTTTCATATTAAATTATGTTTCATAGCTAAATATTTGATATTAAATGAAAGCCCTGTTTCCCCTGAATAAAATGATATATAATAAGGGTGGGTGCATTTAATATGAAAGAGGTGTATTACGGTTGGACAGACATGTAGCGGAAATGCCAGGTTTTGTTTACATTTTGTTTTGTTCACAACGTGTACATTTGGCTCCGTCCTTAAGGGGTTAAACCATACATTTATAAAAAACATTAGCAGGTGTTCAAAAGGCCCTGTCTATGACATCACTTGCTGCTGCAGCTTGACACAGGTCAGAGTATTTTGGTGGGTGCCATCTTCAAACGGTAGTATCTTAAAAACTATAACTCCTACAGCGAAGAGCTTTATATTGTGAGAATCACAAGACCCAGACCTACATTTTGATGCATAGTATGTCTCTGAAGTATTAAAATTGAAGGCACAGTCGCAGTTTAGAAATTGCACTTCAAATCTGAGCTTTGCAGAGTGAAGTTTCAATGAAAGTCAATGGACGGCGTTAGTTGCAAACAAATGATTATATTGTGAAAACTATCAGGACTACGGCTTAGCCGTTTACATGTTTAGTGGCAGCAGGGATAGCTGAACGTTTTGATATAAGATTTGTGTAGGTGGGCTTGAAAATGAGGGAGTAGTGGCAGTTTAGAAATCATGTCCTGATTTTTCAGCTTTTGGCAGCTCCCACTCTAGCTTTGCCATTCATTCCTATGGGACAAATTGCGCCACAAAAACGACGATATTCCGTGAACCATTCGGCGAAACGTTCCACAAAGTAATAGCAATCCGATCGGGAACAATCTGCACGCTTTGGTAAATTTTGGTCTATGTAGTGTAAAAACTGTGG